GGTGTGAACATTATTTCCCTTAAACTATTTGGAAGCACAACACCAATATACAAATAAAACAGGGCTCATATTCTGGAATGATACCGTGGCTATCACTAATTAGGGGCTAGTTGACAACATAAATAAAAATGAATGGGAGAAAAACTTAAAAAAAACTTGTTTTTAGCTTAATTGTTGGTGCAGAATGTATGGCTGGGGCTGGCTGCCTGGCAGCTGCCTTAGCTTTGCTAGCCTGGCTTGCTCGAACAGCAGTTTCTAGGCGTATTTTCAACTCCGGAGCAGCCCCCATTACTGTCTTGAAAGCATGTGGATATAAAGGTCCAATATGCATTAAATTCTGGAGTGCAAACTCATGAAGATCTCTGGAAGCTGCATTTGCTGAGGCAAAAGAATTTTCATCCAGCAGGTAAGAGATCAAAGTGGGAACTAGAAGAGCAAGTAACTGGACTCCTGTAAATAGCAAAGATAAAATATGGAGAATGATCATGAACCTGAAGGCTATAATACTACGCAATTCCTACAGAAGGCAGAACTAGTAGACAATATAAGTAAACTTTAAATACTTTGCAATTCCTACAGAAGGCTGAATTAGTAGAAAATGTAAGTAAACATGTACACTCATAATATACGCAAATATATTTATTCCTAATATATATACCTCAAAACAGACACTTTCCATTATTCTGGTTACTTTACAACTTAAAATCTGCTTGCTTTCCAATTGAATTTTTCATGACAGATGCTGAATTCTGACCTATTTTTTCCCTGACAATATCAATAGGCTGCCTGACGACTTAAGATTTAGAAATCAATAACTCAAAATTAATATTAAATACCTACTAAATGCCCTCGTTATGTTAGGGTTGAAAATTAGGCTTAAGATGCATTCATTTGTTTTATTTTAAAAATACTAGCTAATTTAGAAAGGAAAAAAAATGTTTTACAATTGCCATCTAGTAGCATGTATTTTGAGAGGAAGATTATGAAATTTTTAAGGACATGCTAGAATCAGGAGATTGAAGTAGAGAACAGAAACCAGGATAGCATACATGTACCATCATCAACTATAACTTGGCATTTCTTTTCTAAATAGAAATACAAAACAGCTCTTGTCACATTTCATTATCCCCCAAAATCCATGGTGAGGGAAAATTCTTCAAAAATAATACAATTACATAACCCTTCGGCTTCAAAAACGAGAGCCCATGTCTGGCTGATATAAATTCCAAGTCCTTAAAAACATTTTATGGAGGCTGAATCTCCCTTTGGTAGTCTGTCTTTTCATAGTAACAACTCCATCCCAGCACATAAATTTCACTAAAGACAATATTTTCTTTTCTTTTCTTTTTTTTTTTTTTTGGTAGAGACGGAGTTTCACTTTATCACCCACAGTAGAGTGCTGTGGTGTCACATAGCTCACAGCAACCTCCAACTCCTGGGTTTAGGCGATTCTCTTGCCTCAGCCTCCCAAGTAGCTGGGACTACAGGCGCCCGCCACAACACCCGGCTATTTTTTTGTTGCAGTTTGGCTGGGGCCGGGTTTGAACCCATTACCCTCGGTATATGGGGCCGGCGCCCTACCCACTGAGCCATGGGTGCCACCCTAAAGACAATATTTTCCTCAACAATTAACCTTTATATGTAATTGTGTATCATCACATTGAAAATAAGGCTTTTTACACCTTTAAGTTAATTTATGTAGGATGATGACAGGACTAAAGCCAAGGCAGTGAGAGAGCGGGAAGCGTCTGATACAAAATGTGTGACATAACTCTGATGTCACCACGGACAATCAGCGGAGCCTTTCAAGAATCACACTGCACCTTACTTCTCATCCTCTTTCCCTGCTATATTTTCCCTCCATACCACCTATCAATTTCTGCCTCTTACTAATATATCTACTTCTAATATAGCTGTAGTTACATCCATTTTTATTACTACATAAAATTGTATACAGACACATCTATATGGTATCTCTTCATAAAACAAATATGTTTGTCTATGTGGTGTGGGTGTTATTGTCAGTGTTTTCCTACCAGAATGTCTGGAAACAGGGACCTTTCTGTGTTTTATTTCATGCTATATCCTCAATTACTGGACCACTACCATGTACATAGTAGACATTCAATAGCTGTTTTTTGAATTAAAAAAAAATACACACACACACACACACTCTCTCTCCTATAGAAACCACCCACAAATAATTCAATTTGTTAAATATTAAATTTTCAGGAGAAAAAAGTAACAGGCAAATATTTTAAAAGTCCCAGGTAAATCCTCCAACCTACTTTAGTTGAATTTATCTCACACACAATGAAAATGGTATTACAGAATAATAACTGACTTTTATAGTAAAAATACAGAACTATCAAATAAGCTTCAAGCAGAATAGGTTTTCAATAGCAGGTTAAAAAATAAGATTTTGGGTTTGTTTTTTTTCTTTTGAGACAGAATCTTACTCTGTCACCCTGGATAGAGTGCTGTGGCATCAGAGCTCACAGCAACCTCAAACTCTTGGGCTTGAGTAATCCTAGTCTCAAACTCCTGAGCTCAAGTAATCCTCCCACCTTGGCCTCCCAGAGTACTAAGATCACAGGCATAAGCCACTGCACCTGACTAAAAATCATATTTTTAAAGATAAATATAAGTGATGAAATCAAGACTTCAGCATTCAGGGAATGAAAAGTATATATTAAGCTGTGTAAGTCTTAGCTTAAATGAATGTGTGTGGTAGTTCTTCACTAAATAAAAATAACAATTTTAAAATATAAAAATTTGAGGTATTTTAATAATGATGTTTGGTACTATTCCTAATCTTGTTAATTTGCCATAGCTTTTTTTTCTTGAAACAAGGTCTCACTCTGTCACTTGGTGCTAGAGTGCTGCAGCAGCATCATAGCTCACTGCAACCTTGAACACCTGGGCTCAAGCAATTCTCCAGCCTCAGCCTCCCGAGCAGCTGGGACTGTAGCATACCACACCACACTGGATAATTTTTCTATTCTTTTGTAGAGATGGAGACTCGTTCTTGCTCAGGCTGGTCTCAAACTCCTGACCTCAAGCAATCCTACTGCCTCGGCCTCCAAAAGTGCTAGGATTATAGGCATGAGCCATGATGCTCAGCCTATTATAAAGCTTTTATACCTCTATTATAAAGATTAAACTATGTTATTTAACAAACCTATTAAACATCCATATTTCTCTTAGTTCTTAAAGGACATGTAAGTACATTATCAGTAATTCAATTCAACTTCCTGCTCATAAAAAATAAATATAAATCAATTCAAAAACAATATGTTGACCATGGTGGCTCACACTTGTCATTCTAGCACTTTAGGAGGCTAAAGCAGGAGGATCACTTAAGGTCAGGAGTTTAAGACCAAACTGAGTAAGAGCAAGACCCTGTCTCTACTAAAAACTAAAATTTAGCCAGGAATAGAGGTATGCCTTTAGTCCCAGCTATTTAGGAGGTTGAAGGAGGAGTATCATTTGAGTCTCAGAGTTTGAGATTACAGAGACCTGTGATGATACTATTGCACTCTAGCCTGGGTAAAAGAGTGAGAACCTCTCTCAAAAAACACAACAGACAAAAAGAAAAACAAAGGACTGACATGGGTTCACTTTTCTACTCCTAGCACTCTAAGAGGCCAAGGAAGGTGGACTGCCTGAAGCTCAGGAGTTCAAGATCAGCCTGGGCAGGAGTGAGACCCCATCTCTAAAAACAGCTAGGCATTGTGGGTATCTGTAGTCCTAGCTACTTTGGAGGCTGAGGGGAGAGGATCACTTGAGCCCAAGAGTTTTAAGTTGCTGGGAACTATGACATCACAGCACTCTACCAAGGGCAAGGATGGAGTGAGACTGTCTCAAGAAAAAACAAAACAATGAAAAAAAAACATTATGTTAGTAACATGAGCAAATATATTATGCTTTTACATAGTAACCACTCCTTAGTAAACACTGTTACAAAGGTCTGTGTGTAAATATCAATAAGATTTAAATACAATACAGATCTTCATTTTAAACTAATAGCTTTTCTTTTTGAGACAGAGTCTTACTATGTCGCCCTTAGTAGAGTGCTGTGGCATCATAGCTCACAGCAATCTCAAACTCTTGGGCTTATGCAATTCTCTTGTCTCAGCCTCCCTAGTGGCTGGGACCACAGAGGCCTGCTACAATGCCCAGCTATTCTTTTTGTTGCAGTTGTCACTGTTGCCTTAGCTAGCCCAGCCAGGTTTGAACCTAGCAGCCTTGGTGTATGTGGCTAGTGCTGTAACTACTGTGCTACCGGTACCAAGCCTAGACTAATAGCTTTTATATGAACATACTTACTGTTTTGTTCTTCACCAAGCGCAACCAATGTTTCAAGAACTTTGATTCCTTCTTGAACAGCTAAAAGTTCTGTGTTATTGGCTGGTCTGTTTCTTTCAACTGCTTTTAGCTTTTCAACCACTATTGGAGCTAATGAATGGATATAAGGAGTAGAAAGGGCACGATTGGAATGTTGGAAGACTGACAGGAGAAGCTGGTAACATTTGGCTTGAACCTAGATAAGAAGATCACTTTATCAATAAATATGTTTGATAATTCTTATTTGCTTTATAATCACATTGCATTTTATTTATTTATTTATTTATTTATTTTTAAGACAGAGTCTCATTATGTTGCCCTTGGTAGAGTGCTGCGGCATCACAGCTCACAGGAACCTCAAACTCTTGGTCACCCTCAGTACAGTGCTATGGTGTCACAGCTCACGGCAACCTCAAACTCCTGGGCTTAAGCTATTCTCTTGCCTCGGCCTCCCAAATATCTGGGACTACAGGCACCTGCCACAATGTCTGGCTATTTTTTGGCTGTAGTTGTCATTGTTGTTTAGCAGGCCTGGGCCAGGTTCTGTGGCTTGTGTCCTAACCACTGAGCTATGGGCATCAAGCCATTATGCTACATCTTATATACTGAAAAGCAGTGATACTGCAGGATGAAAATGGAGATGACATTTCTACTCAGAGAAATGGAGTAGAATAATAAAATTTTCAATAAGCTAACTACATAAAACTAATTGAAATGAAATAAAAACATTCCTTCTGATTATTACTAAATCACCAAACATATATAATTTTTAATATGTCTAGAGTGTGAAAAGCTAGAAAACAGTAATTCCAATTTGTTTTTAATTCTTCCTTTAAAATACAATTGTTCTTCCCATTTTACTCTAATGTATTTCGAAAGGAAGGCTAATATTTGAATGATCTGAAATAAAGCTGTAAAAATATATTTCCTAGATACCTAAAACCCATCTAGGCCTGATTTTCTGTCAGGCCTAGAATGTAAAGTATCACATACTCCACTTTAGATTAGACAGACTTCATATTAATAATTCAAAAAGAGAGGGAAGAAGGGAGAGACACAAGCCCCATCAACACATGGGACAAAGAGTGGAGTAAAACTAAGTGCTCTGGTAGAACACAGGGGGCCAAACCTCACTGGACATCAAAAACACTGGGGAACATGGGACTGCAAACTAATACAGCCTCTTTGGAAAGAAGTATGGAGAATCCGCAAAGAACCAAGTTAGACTTCCCATTTGACTCCATAATCCCACTACTAGGCATCCCCAGAAGAAAAAAAATCATTTTATCATAAAGACACTTGCACTAGACTATTTATCGCAGCTCAATTGACAATCGCCAAAATGTAGAAACAGCCTAAATTCCACCAACCCAGGAATGGATTAACAAGCTGTGGTATATGTATACCATGGAATACTATTCAGCTATAGAAAGATAGAGACTTTACATCTTTTGTATTAACCTGGATGGAGCTGGAACGCATTCTTCCTAGTAAAGTATCACAAGAATGGAGAAGCAAGAATCCAATGTACTCAATTCTAATCTGAAGCCAGTGGATGATCTAATACACGCACATAAGAGGAAAAACTCCAATCAATTCAAGGCAAAGGGTGGGGAAATGAGGGAGCAGGGAGAGCAGAGGGGGATAGGCGTGCTCCCACTTAGTGGGCACAATGTTAGGGTGTATGGCACACCTCTTAGGGGCAGGACACAATTTGTTACATTAACAAATGTAAACATTGTAACCTAGTTTTTTGTACCCTCAATTAACCTGAAACAATTAAAAAAAAAATACTCGGGGAACATTTTAAATCTACAGATTCCTGAGCCACAAATTTGGAGACTGTGTGTAATTCAGGAAAATAGTGGTAAAGCCCAAGAATGCTTCTAGACTGCTTTTCTTCCCTGATGTTCAGCAGTTTTGAGAAATATTAGACTTTGACATCATAAAATAAAACTTATTTTCCGGACAAACTAGTTTCTAATAGGTTCATTAAAACATATAATCATGCAAACCTATCTTTAATGTCCTTACTGTTATTTAAATACACATTGGAAAACATAATCATGGATTTCTGTAAAGTCTCTACCAATATGTCTCAGGGTTGATCAAGTATTTCAGACACTGGAGAATTTCTGCATATGTGAATAAACCATATACAGGTCTCTCTCCTTGTGCTTACACCCAGTAATTTTTCCAATTTGAAACTTTCTTGGCAAAGTAGAATGTTTATCTCTATGTTTATAATTGTTTTAAGTGTAACTTACCCATGGGTCACATGAATTTAATGCATTTTTAAATCTGTTCATGCAGCCGTTCTGTAATGACTGGACTCCTATTATTTCACTACTAGCAGACCATAGAAAGAGCGCAATTGCTGTTAGCATGCTTACTTCATCAGGTGTAGGCACAGAGTCTTCTGAAAATTAAAAATAAAAGCAATGGGTGGTTTCTAAAATATTTTGGAATCTCAATTTTAAACAACTCTCTCTCCGTCCTCTACATTTATAGCAGAGCCAGTTCATAGCAACCTCAAACTCCTGGGTTCAAGTAATCCTCTTGCCTCAGCCTCCTGAATAGCTGGGATTATAGGCACCCACCACAATGCCCAGCTAATTTTTCTATTTTTAGTAGAGATGGGCTCTTGATCTTATTCAGGCTGGTCTTGAACACACAAGCTCAACCAATCTTTCCTCCTTGGCCTCCCACAGTACTAGGATTATAGGCATGAGCCACCATGACTAAATATATAAAGTTAAATGATTATAAGATATTCTGTTTAACTGAAAAACCCACAGGGTGGTGCCTATGGCTCAAAGGAGTAGGGCGCCAGCCCCATATACTGCGGGTGGTGGGTTCAAACCCAGCTGTGGCCAAAAACTGAAAAAAAAAAAAAAAACCCAGAATAGACTTTCTTGGTGATATCACTTTTCAACTTATAAATATGAAAACCTGTAAATTCCACACAACCATAAAAAAACCAAAATTGCATAATGTCCTGAAAATATCATTGTTATAATTTTAAGAAATTTCTTGCTATTACAAGCATTTGTCCCGGAATATATTCAACTTTAACTGAATAGAAATAAAATATGCAGTTAGAAATATGAACATTTATTCTAATGAAGAACATATTAAATTAGAGATCCAAACTATATTATAATTACCATTTCTTCAACAACTGAATTTATCAACACTTTCTGTGTGAATTTGGGCTAACTTGGCAATTATAAATATCCAATGATAACCAGTATTTTTTTTTTTTTTTTGCAGTTTTTGGCCAGGGCTGGATTTGAACCCTCCAGGTCCAGCATATGGGTCCGGCGTCCTACTCCTTTGAGCCACAGGCGCTGCCTATAACCAGTATTTTTTTAGGATTAAGAACATATATATTTGATATTCTAACATTCTCTCATAATGAGGGTATCAGCTTTCATAAAATACTTGTGGAATGAGCTGAGAACAATAGTCTAGATAAAGTCCTATAACATAAAGGAAAGAAGGTTAAGAAAAAATTAGAAGAATTTAACCAAGTTATAAAAATCTGAGTCACAAATATTAAAAACTTGTGAACTCCACAGCAGGAATGTTACTCTAGATGGAATAAGAACTATCTCTTATTCAGAGTTTGTGATATTATAAGCAATTTTTTTGTCAGAAAATTATTTTATTTTTAAATTGTGATTTTGAGAAGATTAGACCTCTAGGCTGGTCATGGTAGCTCACATCTAAAATGCCAGGACTTGAGGAGGCCAAGATTCAAGACAAACCTGGGCAACACAGTGAGACCCAATCTCTACTCCCACCCCCAAAGCCTTTTTAGAGAAAGGACTGATTCTAGAACAGAAACAGGTAAAATACAAGATGAGTCTGTTACATCTTGGTGCCAGAAAGTAAGGAAGTGCTCAAGAAATAATGTGGACATGTGAAAATAGTAAAACAGTAATAGAAACACTGGATTAAGAAAAGAACCGTGAATCTGTACTCATAGTAATAAATAAATATATAATAAAAGGCAAACAGAAAGCGCTTCCTTTCAGTAGAATGCCAGCTAATAATGTAAAAGGAATACAAAATATGGATTAGAAAATTATCATTTTGAAACCATAAATGATTCAGGTACAATAGATGCTAAAACCATTATGTGAAAGTTTGACGGGGAAGAGACAACTGAGATAGTCTTACAGCATCTCCCCACAGATTACTTATTAATTATAAAACAGAAAAATGGCAATTTTATAGCAGAGAAATATGGCAGGTATCATCTTAATAAAGTTATTAAGGTAAAGATTCCCAATAATCAGGCAAGAAAATATTGTATGTCTCCTTATATGATACGCTGAGAAAGAGACACTACTTACAGTATCCCTGCCAAAAATGCAGAAATGGAATCTAATCCATTTTTTACTGAGGAAAAAAAATCAGCCAATTCTAAATGGAGAAGCATTCTACATAATACATAGCTGTGCTCTTCAAAACATTAATCTCATGAAAGATAAAAGCTGAGCAACTGTCCCAGATTAAAGGAGACTAACGCACTATGATGACTCAATATAACAAAAGAGCTGTATGAAAGTCATTATTAGCAGGACTGGTAAAATTTGCATATAAGCAATAATAGCATTGTATCAATGTTAACTGGCCTAAATTTGATGGGATGTCCTTGTCATGAAATATTTAGGAGTAAAGAGTCATGAGGACTTCAACCTATTCTCAAATTGTTCAATAAAATTAATAAGATAATAATGATTATAGAGAGAATAAAAACCCTTGTGTGGCAAACTGTTAACAACTAGTAAATGTAGGAGAGGATATGATGGAACTTACTATGCTAGTCTAAAAATTTTTTTAAAAAACTGCCTCACTCTGTTGCCCAGGCTGGAGTGTAGTAGTGTGATCACAGCTCACTGCAATCTCAAATTCCGGGGCTCAAATGATCCTCCTGCCTCAGCCTCCCAAGCAACTGGGACTAGTAGCGTATGCCACCACATCCAGCTAATTTTTCTATTTTTTCTAGAGATAGGGTCTTGCTATGTTGTTCAGGTTAGTCCTTTGCCTCGGCCTCCTGAAGCAAGGATGACAGGCATGACCCAGCCTCTTGAAATTTTCTTTAAAAGTTTGAAATTTATTTCAAAATCAAAAGTTCTAAAAATGAAAAAAAAAAATGATGTAGCAATCTTTTTTGAGACAGAGCCTCAAGCTGTTACCCTGAGTAGAGTACCATGGCATCACAGCTCACAGCAACCTCCAACTCCTGGGCTCAAGTGAGTCTCCTGCCTCCACCTCCCAAGTAGCTGGGATTACAGGCATCTGCCACAACGCCCGGCTATTTTTAGGTTGCAGTCGTCATTGTTGTTTGGCGGGCCGGGCTGGATTGGAACCCCCCAGCTCAGGTGTACGTGGCTGGCACCTTAGCCGCTTGAGCCACAGGCGCCGAGCCAATGTAGCAATCTTAACAGTGACTTACTACATCCAAAGTAATTAACGTGTGTGTGTGAATGGAGTCACATACATACATACACATATTTTTTAAGGAAAGATTTCTTCTTTTATAAAAGGAAATAAGATTGCCATAATGGAAATTCTGTGTTATAAAACTTTTCTTGTTGGGCCAGGCATGGTGGCTTATCCCTGTAATCCTAGCATTCTGAGAGGTTGAGGCGGGTGGATTGCCTGAGCTCACAGGTTTGAGACAAGCCTGAGCAAGTGCAAGACACGCCCACCCCACCCTGTCTCTAAAGAAAAACAGCCAGGCACTGTGGGAAGCGCATACAGGGGAGGCTGAGACAAGAGAATTGCTTGAGCCCAAGAATTTGAGGTTGCTGGGAACTATGATGCCACAGCACTGTACCAAAGGTGACAAGGTCAGACTATCTCAAAACAAAAACAGCTTTTCTTGTTAAGCAAGAGATCTGCTTGCTTTATTATACAAATACTGTACAAATATATCTGTGGCTTTGATCCTTACTTTATAACTATGTCTCCTGGGAATTCAGCTTTTAACAGAATATCTTAGGTAAGTTAATTCTATTATCAGACCTTTAAATTTCACCTCATATGAATAAACAGCTTGATAAATTATCAAAACTTTCTCTTAAGTGTATAATTGACAATTTAAAAAATATTGACTCTGGATCCTCCCCAACAAAAAATTAAAGCAGTATTTATATTTTTAAATAAATTCTTAACTATTTCTTCACCTGATTATTCCCATCTATCTATATGCACACATACACACATATATAAATATAGCATTTAATATTTCATCAGTTCGTTAAAATCTACCTTAAGAAGCAAAATATTAACTCTTGATAAAGCTGACATAGTTTTAGTAACATTAATGAAATTACAGTTTTCAGGGTATTTTCCCACAATGAACAGATGAGTTGTATAAATTTTTCCTTACAGGCGCCCATAGCACAGTGGTTATGGTGCCAGCCACATACACCAAAGATGGCAGGTTCAAACCCAGCCCTGGCCAGCTAAACAACAATGACAACTGCAACAAAAAACAGCCAGGCATTGGTTGTGGCAGGTGCCTGTAGTTCCAGCTACATGGGAGGCTGAAAGGCAAGAGAATCGCTTAAGGTTATGAATTTGAGGTTGCTGTGAGCTGTGACATCACAGCACTCTACCCAGGGTGATATAGTGAGACTATGTCTCAGAAAAAAAAAAACACAATTTTTTTCCCTTACAAATATTTTTTTAATCATATAAAAATAATACATGTTTTTAGACAAGCACTGTGACTCACACCTGTAATCCCAGCTACTCGGGGGCCTGAAGCAGGAGGATTGCTTGAGGCCAGGAGTTCAAGACCAGCCTAGGCAACATAAGGAGACTCTGTCTCTAATGAAATTTAAAAAATTAGTTGAGTGTGGTGCTTCACACCTGTAATCCCTTCTACTCAGAAGGCTGAGGTGGGAGAAGTCGAGCCTGCAGTGAACTATGATCATGCCTTTGCATTCCAGCATGCATGACAGTGCAAGACCACATCTCTAAAACAAAAAAAGTAATACATGTTCATCGTTTAAAATGTAAAGTGTATTATGAGAGAGAAAATAAAACTTGTAACTCTATGACCTTTAATAATTTAGGTTTAATTTCTAGGTTTTGGTTTAAATTCTTTTGGTTTGGGTTAGTCTTTGCATAGTTGCTTATAAACATATTTAATAGATATATAATCCTAATGAATATACTATTATGTATTTTATAATTTTTCCCACTGCTGGAAAGTTATATTTTTCTCACATTTTCATTATTGTAAAATAGATGTAATAGGTGATAAATAACCTTGACCATATTTTTTGATCAGTAAGGCCAAAGACTATGCAATCTTAAAGGCTCTTTGTACATCCTACAGGATTCCCTAAAAGTTTAAACCATTTTAAAATATCTTTAGTAAAGCATTAAAATGTTGTTCTCCTGAAAAATAATAAAAAATGTTGTTCTCCCAGTACCAATTCCAGCTGTACATAGTCACTTAAAAAAATCATTTTTGCAACTAAAAATTTATATTACTGTTTATGTTTACATTTCTTTACTTACTAATATGGCTCATTTTTTTATATGCTTGGTGGCCATTTTTATTTCCTTTTTTATTAACCTGTATTCTTTCCTTCATCTAGTGGCAGTTAAGTGAATTTCTTCTAGGACCTCTTTGTACAGCAATGGCAGCATCATGACATAAATATTTTTGTCAGCTGTCTTTTTTCAGCTATCATTTAATGTAAGATGTTTGGGTGGGTAGAAGTTAATTTCTGCACAGACCAATACATTGATATTTTTGAGATATTGTTCATTGACTTATTTTTGCCATTCTGACATAAAAGATTCCCCTATATTTTGTTTTCCAATTTTTTAAATTTTACATCATCCTTTAAATTTATCTGGTATTTTTTGTGATTCATGATATAAGGGGAGGACTTAATTGCAATTTATTTCTCAGATAGCTAACTGACACAAACCGTTTGAAGGATAATGACTGTGCCTTAATTATGTGTTACATTCTCATGTAGATTTAATAAATGGCTGTTTCAAAGCAATCTGTTCTGTTTTGTTCCATGGTCCCATCCACTGATTCTCTGGCCCAGTCTATAGTTTTAGAAATTGTGGACATTTTTAATGGGAAAAATGACAAGTCTGTCTTACTATTCTTTGTTTTCAGTTTTTGTTTTTGTTTTTGTTTTTTTTGAGACAGAGTCTCACTATGTCACCCTCGTTAGAGTGCTCTGGCATCACAGCTCACAGCAACCTCAAACTCTTGGGCTTAAGTGATTCTCTTGCCTCAGTTGTCATTGTTTAGCTGGCCCGGGCCAGTTTTAAACCCACCAGCCTTGGTGTATGTGGCTGGCATCATAAGCACTGTGCTAGGGGCACTGAGCCTGTTTTCAGTTCACGTTTTCTTTTACAATAGAAATAAAACTTGAAATAAAAAGTCAAACAGAAGAAAGAGATAAAAATGTCAGTATTTCCCCCTAAATTAAACACAAACATAGAAAATGCTTATACTTAGTAGGAAAATGAAACATGCAAATTAAGACACTAAGATGGTACATTTTACCTATCATGTAGCAAAATTTAAACATCTGCCAATATTGGTGGGTATATGGAGAAGCAGATTATAATATGCTGCTGAGAGCACAGTCAATTGGTGGAGGACAATTTTGCAATGTCTAATAAAATTAAAATTAGAAAAAGCAAAAACATCCTTGACAGGGGAATGATATACATTAATAGATCTAAAAATAATTTACTGCTGAGTAAGAGAACAAAGGTTAATTGAGATATTAACTTATATAAATTTTAAAATACAAATACTTTATGTTGCTTATAGTTATCTCACTCTATATGCATACACAAATTAACACATAATTATTAATATAACTGACATATGTTAATATAGAAAATATACCTATTTATATAGATATTTTGAGAATAAAATACCTTAATATCAACATTGTGACTCCATTTGGGAGTATGTTGGGGTAGGGAGAGATGCTTCAATTTTCTTTCCTACTTTATTACTTTAAATGTAAAAAACAACTTGAAGCAAACATAAATAGATTCACACATGTCAATTCTGGCCATATAATTCTTTTTTTTTTTTAAACCTCCCAACAAGTATGTAAGTACTAAGACAAGGTCATTTAGCATCAACAATTCAGAAAGCAGTATTATTACATTTCACACCTGAAAGATGTTACTAAAACACCTCTCTGAGTTGATTCAGTATTATGCACCAGTTTTCTGACAAGCTTTTCACCTAATTAATTACAGAGGAAACATATTTCCTAATAGAGTAAACTTTTTTTTTTGGAGACAGAGCCTCAAGCTATCCCCCTGCGTAGAGTGCTGTGACATCATAGCTCACAGCAACCTCCAATTCCTGGGCTCAAGTGAGTCTCTTGCCTCAGTCTCCCAAGTAGCTGGGATCACAGGCACCTGCCACAATGCCCGGCTATTTTTTAGTTGCAGCCATCATTGTTGTTTTGACTGGCCCAGGCTGGATTCGAACCCACCACCTTGCGTGTATGTGGCTGGTGCCTTAGCCACTTGAGCCACAGGTGCTGAGCCAACTTTTTTTTTTTTTTGAGACAGAATCTTGCTTTGCTGCCCTCTGTAGAGTGCTGTCACATCACAGCTCACAGCAACTTCACACTCCTGGACTTAAGTGATTCTCTTGCCTCAGTCTTCCAAGTAGCTGGGACTACAGGTGCCTGACACAATGCCGCGATTTTTTTTTTTTTTATAGTTGTCATTGTTGTTTGGCAGGCCCAGCTGGGTTCCAACCCACCAGCTCCGGTGTATGTAGCCGTTGAGCTACAGGCACCTAGTGAGATTAAACATTTTTAAACTCTGATTGTTTACCTGGTTGAGAATATTCCAGGATACATGCAAGAGTGCTGCGAATTAGTGCTGTCCACTGTTTTTGAGTTTCCTCAGTTTTGGCCATTGAAAGTGTCACAATACTTTTAATCCCTTGAAGAGCTGCACTGACTGGTGGAGGAACCTGATTGTCTGCAGACTTGATTGCTGTGTCTTTCAATATTCTTGCAATTAAGAAAAGAATTGTGGGAAGGATTGTCATACATCCTGAAATAAAAACAAATAAGAATACCTCATAATTATTTCAGTTCCCATGTTATAGTGGTTTCCACTGCTTATATATCTTTTTGCAGTTGATTGTGGTTTAGTATTGTTTCTTTGCCTTGCTTTTATACAAAATTCCCTGCATTACTATTATTATAACTCAAGGCTTACGAAAGTGCCAGATTATTTCCGATAAAACAGAATTGGTATTGGCTTGGTGCCTGTAACTCAGTGAGTAGG